TACCGAATCAGTGACTCTACTTTCAGTGAGGAGCAGTGACTCAAAATAAAAAAGGTGTTGAGATTGAGGAAGACTCCTGACTTGGACCTTTGAGCTCCATACACACACATGTGCACATGCATAACTGTGCACACAAGTGTACACACATGAACATGTACACACATCACACACATATAATATTAAAACAAAAATCTCATCTGTACTGGGCCGGAAAGGACTTTCATCATTTCTTACACAATGCAGTATATCAACTACTTACACACTTTCACACTGTGTCACATTCTGTAATTTAAATATCTGAGAGAGTGGACATAAAGCACACACACACAGAAAATACGGCTTCATATCAGGAAAAGGGTGCTTGCTATTCCTGTTGAGGACTACTACTAGGCTTACAGCTACCTGCTACATCAGCTACTGAGAACCCAGCGCCCTCTGCTGGCTGCTTTGAGCATCCACGAGCACACACATACACATAATGATAAAAATAAACCTTTAAAAAAGGTACATCAACTTTATGTTGAGAATAGGGAGCATGTTACCCACCCATTATATAGTTTAATTTTGTAACAAATGCTCAGACTTGTGCTCTAGAAAGACTATTTTGGTTTCAGATAGGAAAATGAAAATGAACTTGGTAGCTGAAGACACAGTGCAGGGCCCTGTACAATCACGAAGGCCCTGGGGTTAACTAAACCTTCCCACGTTGTAATAATGTCCTTAATAACGTAGTTCTGATGCAGATGGCTCTGCGAACACTCCTCAGCAAAACAGGTGTTACTGGCTGGTTGTATCAGACTCTGAGCATGCCCTAGCAAAGTTCCAACACTGGCCACGTGTCCTCCATGCACAGCTTCCTCCCAGTCTTGAAGGTTGGAAGTCTGAAATATAGTTAGGGTTACTATTGCTATGATGAAGCACCATGACCAAAGCAGCTTGGGAAAGAAAGGGCTTATTTGGCTTACACACACTCTACTTCACTGTTCATCACTGAAGGAAGTCAGGACAGGAACTCAGACAGGAACCTGGAGACAGTAGCTGAAGCAGAGGCCATGGAGGGGTGATGTTTACTGGCTTGCTCTTCATGGTATACTCAATCTGTTCTCTTATAGAAACAGGAATACCAGCCCAGGGTGGCCCCACCCACAACGGGTGAGACTCTCCCATATCAATCACTAATTAAGGACACCTCTATCTAGCTTGCCTACAATCTGATCGTAGAGAGGCATTTACTCAATTGTGGCTCCCTACTACCTGATGACTCTACAAAATTAGTCAGCATAACAGTTTTTTCCCCCCTTTGAGAAATCTCCAAACTTGATTTCCACAATGTATTAATTTGTACTATCACCAGCATGAACTCTGTCCACATCCTCTTTAACATTTATTATCTGCTCTTCCACATCCTCTTTAACATTTATTATCAGATTTATTGGTGATAGCCATTCTGATTGGGGTGAGGTGATATATCAAAGTAGTTTTCGTTTGCATTTCCCCCATAGCTGAAGTTATTGGAAACTTTTAAAAATGGCTACTGGCAATTTGCTTTTCTTTTTTTGAAAAGTGTCTATTCAATTTACTCGCTTAGTTGTTAACTGGCAGGTTATTTCCTTGGTGTTTAATTGCGGTGCTCCTTTGTAAATTCTGGATAGCAGCCGCTTGTCTGAAGGGTAGCTGGTAAAGATGTCTTGCATGAAGTGCGCTGCCTGTGTGCTGTTCATTGTGTCCTTTGCTGAACAGAAATCTGATCTGTCATGTAGTCCCATCTGTTCAAAACCAGTTCCCGAGCTGATGATCCTCTACTGAAAAGGTTTTATCCACCTCCCAATACCTTGAAAGGAATCCTTTGTTTTCTTCTAGAAGTTGCAGTGTTTCAGGTTTTAAATTAAGGTATTTGATCCTTTTCTAATTTTTATTTTGCATAAGGTGAGAAATCTGAATCTACTTTTATTCTTCTGCAGATAGATTTCCAATTTTGCCAGCACCATTTGTTTTTTTTTCCCAATGTATGTTTTGATTTCTTTGTCAAAAATTAAGCGAGCATAGCTTTGTTTTATTTCTGGTTCCTCTGTTCTTCCCATTGTTCTGCCTGTTTGTCACTAGGCCAGCACCAGGCTGACTTTAGCACTACAGCTCTATAGCATAATTTGGGGTCAGGTATTGTCAGGTTCCTAGCAGTGTCCTGACTCCCCAGAATCGCTTTGGCTATTTTGTGTGTGTGTGTGTGTGTGTGTGTGTGTGTGTGTGTGTGTGTGTGTACGCTCGCACTTCCAAAATGAATGATTATATTGTTTTCCCCCCAAACCTTTGAAATATGACAGCAGACTTTGACAGGTATTGCATTACATCTGTAAATTAATATTGGTAGTACAGCCATTTTCACAATACTAACTCTGCCAGTCCAGGAGCATGGGCTGTCTTTCCATTATTTAGTGTCTTTTGTAATTTCCTTTTTCAATATTTTGAAGGCTTTTTTGTTTCTGTGTGTAGAGGTCCCTTGTTTCTTTCTTTATGTTCCCAAACACTTGATTGGGGGGCAGATTATTTTGGATGGAATACCTTCCCTCATTTCTTTCTCTGAGAGTGCAGCGCTGCTATAATCTAAGGTTTATTCCTTTGTTTTTAAAAACTGACTTAGTATATGGCAACTTTATTGTATTTTTTAGGCTCAAGAGTTTTTAGCAGACTCAGTAGGGTCTTTTAAATAAAGAATCATGCCATCTGTAAATAGGGATAGTCTGACCTCCTTTTCTAATTTTTATCCCTTCTATGCCTTTTTTCTTGTCTCATTGCTACAGCTAAGACTTTTGAGAACTATGAATAAGTGGGGAGTGTAGGCACCCTTGTCTTATTCCTGGTTTTAGAGAAAATGCTGTTTGTCTCATTTAATATATATAATGTTGGATATAGTTTTATTGTACATAGCTTTATATTATTTCAAGCCTTGTTCCATCTATTCCAGAACTTTGTTGACATACCTGTGTTCTAACCTCCTTCTCTCCCAAGAATGCCCTTTGTCTTGGTTAGGGTTTCTATTGCTGCAATGAAATACTTCCATATTGTAGCCAATCACTGAAGGAAGTCAGGAGAGGAACTCAAACAAGGGTGGAACCTGAATGATGGAGCTGGTGCAGAGGCCATGGTGGGGTGCTGCTTACTGGCTTGCTCCTCATTGCTTGCTCAGCCTGCTTTCTTATAAAACCCAGGACCACCAGCCCAGGGATTGTTTCATCCACAATGGGCTGCTCCCCCTAACCCCCATCAATCACTAATTAAGAAAATGCCTACAGCCAGATCTGATGGACACATTTTCTTAAGTGAGGGTCCCTCCTCCCCTATCACTTTAGCTTGTACCAAGTTGATATAACTCATTTTTTTTTTTTTTAAACAGGGTTTCTCTGTATTGCTTTGGAGCCTATCCTGGAACTCGCTCTGTAGACCAGGCTGGCCTCTAACTCATGGAGATCCTCCTGCCTTTGCCTCCCAAATGCTGGGATTAAAGGCGAGCACCACCACCTGGCCCAAGTTGATATAACTAACTATCCAGCACACCCTTTTTAGTAACTTCAGGCCCCTTGATGATTCCATTTTAACTGCCTCTTTAAAAACCCTTCTTCAAACGCTGGGAATTATCAAATGAGGCAGACTATTTGGAAGAGTGATAGCCGATAACCCACATACAAAGGGACAAAGAGCAGGCAGCAGGAGCTACCTATGAGAAGGCCGGGATTTAATAAAGCCTTCCATTACAAACGAGAGAGAGGAAATACAGGTAATCGCGCTTAAAGAGTTAAAATAAGTTAATCACAAAAGACAACATAATGCATGATTCAAATGAGGTAAGTGATTCAATTTGTAAAGCTGCCAAGACAGAGAGTAGGTGAGGTTTGCCTGGGGTCTGGGTAAGAAGTGAGTGATGGGCAGAAAAGGCTGGTTATGGATACGGGGTTTCTTTTAAGAGTGGTGACTGTGCTCTAAATTCGGCTGTGGTGATGGTTACATATCTGTGAATATACTACGAACTACTTACTGTACAGTGTATCTTAAATGAAAATGGTACGGTGTGTGAATTGTAGTGTTTAAAAAATGAACACTATGAATTCCAGAAAAAAAGACAATGGTCTATGTCAAAACCCTAACAATGGAATGAAGAGATGGATTTCGGACCAATCCAACAGGTGGTTGCTAAGTTAGAAGGGTTAATTTGGTTTGATTATATCGAATTGAATAGCATTTGCTTAAGAGCTTGTATGGCAAGCAGCAGCACATTTCGGTCATAGAGACAGATCATTGCCCTACATCTTACTAAGTCGACGTGAAAAAACAAAAAACAACAACAACAATAACAAAAAATGTGCTCAAAGGAACAAACCTAATCTGAGATGGATGGTCCAGTCACACTACCACATTGAAGCTATGTTGTTTAAAATGCTGCCATGATGGAGGGTAAGTAGCTGCTGCCTAGCTAGAACCATCTATTCCACCCACTGCATACCAGGAAACCCGAAGCTGCTGCAGCCATCTTGGCTTCTTCCGCGAACGACTACCTTTCTTCTAATGAGACCCCCTACACACACACACCCTCGGCATCACCCCGAAACTGGCTAGTACATGGGGTAGTGGGTCACTAGAACATTGCAGGAGCAGTATGACCGGCATTCGTTCTAATTGGTGATTTTATATATATATATATATGGGAAGTTCCAGAGAAAACTGTCATGGTGACCCTCCCAGCCAGTGGTGAGCACGACGTGGCCATTCAGCCCCATAACACCATGCTGATCCCTCCGCTCGCCCCATCTTGCGCTTTCCCGAGGGCCACAAGCCGCAGTCTCCGCTTTAGTCCTGCGCACTAGCACAGACGCACTTCCCTCTTTTCCCCGCACCTCCCGCCGGGATCAGGGCCCGAGCATGCGCACTGCGTCGCTGGGGGGGCTCGCGCGCTTCGCAGGCTCTCCGTGCGCATGAGCGGAGCGGCCGCCAGAGCGGAAGTGGAGCTGCGGCGGGGAGGCGGGGCTGGCGGGCAGGCGGGCGCGCGCGGAGGCAGTGCGAGCGGCTGACATGGCGCACTTGGGGCGTCTCCTGGTTCCCCTGGCAGCCCTGGTCCTGTTGCTCTGGGCGGTCCCTGGGGCCCACGGGCGGCGGAGCAACGTGCGCGTCCTCACCGATGAGAACTGGACCTCGTTGCTGGAAGGAGAGTGGATGATAGAATTGTAAGTGCCAGGGGCTGGTTTGGGTGTCCGGCGGTGGCCGCGGCCGCGCCCCTCCCTCGAGCGTGCACCTGACTAGCCTAGCCCACCATCCTCCGGCAGGCTCGGAGTCCCAGCCTTTGCCACCCCCAGCTCCAGGCTCGTTTCGTACCCGGGAGTATTAGTTGTCTGTCTAAGCGTGCACCCGCGCTTCGTCGTTGCTAGGCACTGTGGCGCGATTAAAGGATTACGTGCCACATCGAATTCTCTAGAACAGCCTGGCGGGTTTGAGGGTGGGAGTGGGTGGAGTGCAGGTCTTGACTAGTTCCGTAGACTATTTTAGTGATGTTTTATAGACATTAGACTTCAAATCTCCAAATTTTACGGAAGATGATATTGAAAAGAATCTCGCTTTAAAGCTGTCACTATAAATCCTTGTATTTATCTGTTTGTAATGTTTGAATTTGGAGCTCTTTTATTTTTTATTTTGTGGGTTAGTTTTTTTTATTGTAAATGCAGAATAAATTGAAATGTATTTTAAAGTCTTTATTTCCTATTTTCCCCTCCTTGCCTGCATTCATTCCGTTTTGGTCCGAATTTCATTTTTCTATGGGCGTGCGCTTTTGCAGTTTAGAGATTGGCTTGAATTGTGACTACTAGGCCTTTGTAAAGTATTGCGTATGCTCTAGTGTGATTATTAATAGGCCAGTTCATCATTTATTAGTCGAACAAAATCACGTGTCTCGTGTGATGCTTCTATTTCATTAATGTCCGTTTTGCTGCTGTAGGATATAAACTACCTCTGGCCTTTGTTTTAGATGATAAATTGATGGTATGGTTAATCAATTGATAGCGACATTGTCGATACTGACAAAAGCACCATTGTCGGATATTAACCGTTTATTGAGCACCACTAAGTATATTTACATACCTTTTGTAATTAATCTACATGTTCTGTAGAGCAGTTACACCACCCCACCCCACCCCCGCCCCTTTTACAGAAAAATAGATTGGTCTGTTCAGATGTTGCTCTTAGTGGCTTTGTTGGACCTCGAGTAAATATGCAGGCACTATTGTAAGCAGCCCTTTAGCAAGATTCTGGTGCGTTCCTATATTGTGATTATATTTAGGGTTGCTCGTTAAGAGAAAGGTGTTTAAAAAAAAAGAAAAGAAAAAGTAGACGTGAACATCCTGGGTAGATCAGTAACACCTGAGGCACAGAACAAAAGGACAGGTCTAGAACAGTTTTGGTTTTTTTTTTGGGGGGGGGGGGGTAGTGGAGGGTAAGCTAGGGAAAACATTCAGTGAACCTAATTGAAGTGAATTTTCAGGAGAGGAACTATAAACAATGGTGGTTGTTTTGAGTCATTGTCATGAATAACTTAAATTGTGCCCATTAGCAGTTTGTTAATGCAGTAGTTACACATATATAAAATACATACTCAAGTATTACAGAGAGATACCTTTAAACTTTTTGTCTCACTGTAAATATAATATCCAGAAAAGGTGGGAAGGGGAGCAAATCTAGCTTAATATTGAGTATTGATCTGAAATTTCAGTATTTGGTGCTTCCCTTTCTCCTTGGCTAAAATTTGGGAATTTAAAGAAGCCTTTTAAAAGCATTAAAAAACAACACACTTAAAAAGAAGGATCCAGGCAGTGGTCATAACTGTCTATATTTAATAGTGAATTACTTTCAGCTTTATTATAGAGATGCTTTCATTGTAATTTTACTGGTAAAGAATTTGGCTTTTTTTATGTAACACTAACTGGTTTGTCTTGTTTTACATGCCTGTCTTAGGAGCTTGATTTTCCTAAAACAGTTTTTGAAATTACAGAAGTATTTTCCTAAGTGTAGTAAAATTCTTCCCAAGTCTGTAAGATGAAGCAGATTACGATATTCAGTGAAGTGGAAAATAAAATTCTGAGGAAAAACTTGGACCTGGAAAGATAGTTTCAGAGAAGTGATTAGAGTTCTGGTGCCCTTGGCCACTGACTTTGTAAGCTCAGGGTCTTTGGACTCAGGCTGACATGTTTCTGACCTATAGAGTTTTGTCTGCACTGCTTAGTGTTTGTGTGAAGGTTGGGTTTGGAGTGATATTTGTACATAAGAACCACAGGTCCCCAGCTTAGTTTATTACGAAAAATTTGCCTACCTGGGGTAATCCTTCCCAGTGGATTATGTACATGGTTGCAATTTGCACAGCCCAGGTACTTCCATTTTTCCAGTACTATTTATCCAATACTTTGTTGACCCTGATTGTAAAATTACTGAATTTAGTGACCTTAAAAAAATAAATATGTAAAAGTCTTGAACTTTCTGGTTGGGATAAGCCACCCATATGGATCATTTCCTGCGTTATAGGTTTAAACATTCTTCAGAAATTATGCTTCAATGTTCTTCACAGTAATGTCATTAACTTTTCCATCTTGACTGTATGTATCTTACAGCTACGCTCCCTGGTGCCCAGCTTGTCAGAACCTTCAGCCAGAATGGGAGAGTTTTGCCGAATGGGGTGAAGATCTTGAGGTTAAAGTTGCAAAAGTAGACGTCACAGAGCAGACAGGTACTGTAAGTCTGTCTGGCTAGTACTGTTTCTTTGCATTTCTAGTATTCACAGGGTGATACCATTCTCATTCTGGCAACAACATAATTATCTTTGTTCTTGAATAACAGATGCATTTTTGTTTGAAACCTTCTTAAGATGGTTTTTTTCCTTGGCTGGTCACAGCTAGTCAGTCACACTAGGTACAAGTAATTCCTCAGGTACTTAACTGTTCACAAATAACCAGTATTAAGGCTTCACAAACCTTTCAATTGACTTATGTACATTGATGCATCTTCAAAGTTGCTGTAACGACTAATTCACATGTTCATTATTGATTACAAAGCTCACCTTTAGGTGTTTTCTTGTTCTTATTAGTATTTAAATAATTTAGAGTCATCTCTTCAGTAAGCAAATGTCCCTAACAAGAATCTGTTGTGTTTTCTTTGTCATTTGTAGGACTGAGTGGACGGTTTATCATAACTGCCCTTCCTTCTATTTATCAGTAAGTATTTGGAGGTTCTTGGTCATGGAGAGGAATGCATCATTAGTGTAATGAGAGCAGTAGGCCTCTGACTTTGATTACATTTGAAGAGCTTAGGTAATCTCATTATATCCAGCAAGGACTTCTGAGAGCTGGATTTGGTTTTAATGGTACCCTACATCTTACAGACAGACAGTAAATAACTGATACGTAAAACATTCCCTGTTCTCAGAAGTTTGTAATTGCTTTGGAAAGTGATATTCTCATCAAATGGTGTGGTCAGTCCTCTTCAATATAGCCAGTAACTATGAGCCCAGAGTCTTAATGATTCCTGAAGAAGTGTGTAGGAAACTGTGATAGAGAGAAGCCACAGTTGGCCAGAGCAGTTCCTGGAGAACATGGGGGTTAAATGAAAATTTGGAAGTAGCATTTTCAAGAATGCAGGGTAAGTGTTCTTTTCTGAGAAGTCTCAAACAGGAGGAATATGGTCTGCTAAAATGACTATTGTTACACTGACTGGTTGTGTGAGTTGGAATGAACAAGTCTTGGCTCTGCACCTTTAACTTTTTCCCAAACTAATCTGCAGAGAGACAATCTGTAGTCTGTTTACTTGACTTGTACCTCGCTCGGTGTGATTAGCTGGTGGCTAAATACCAGGAAATACTTCTTTTCCTCATTTAAAGTTATATTAACAAACTAAATCTTCCCTTTTTCCTCAGTCCTTTTTTTTTTTAACTTTAAAAAAAAAAATCTATCCCTACTTTGTATATAAAAATCAATGAGATTGACAAACTCTCATCCAAATTAACTAAAAGACAGATAGAAGGCCCGAATTAATAAAATTAGAGATGAAAAGTCTCTTTACCTTGATGTAAGGTAGGACACTATTGACACTTAAAGATGTGGGAGATGAGAGGATTCTCATGTTCTAGAATGCTAGATGTTGAGAATATGAGGGTAGCCGGAGAAAAGGGTGGAGACTTGACCCGTTACAACTGCTATCAGCTGCCTACAGCAACTTCAAGTAGAATGCTGAGATGATTAAATTAGAATCCAGGAACTAGAGAACTACCTCAGAATTGTAACTGTAAAGTTTAAAAAAACTTGATCTTGTATATCAGGCACTATTCCAGGAACTTCCTATAGTAATCCCTTTAACATGTGTATTAGATGTAAGGCTTAAAGGGGATTTTCTCCTTGCAGTGTTTCAGTTTTTTTATTTGAAAGAATAAAGTCTTAAAACATGTTTTTATATGTTTGGGGCTATGATGCCATCAGTGTGTAACATGTTTTGGTGTTTTGCTAGTGTTTTTGAAGGTTAGGACTGAATAACCTTCAAAATGAGGAAATGGTAAAACAGTTATTTCTCACTGCCAGTTAATATTTAGTTCTGGTCTTTAGTTGTAAAGATGGTGAGTTTAGGCGTTACCTGGGACCAAGGACCAAGAAGGACTTCATAAACTTCGTAAGTGAGAAGGAATGGAAGAATGTTGAACCTGTGTCATCATGGTTTGGCCCAAGTTCTGTTCTGTAAGTATGAGGACTTCCTTACTTCAGAAGTAATTGCACTTTATGTGAGTAAAGCATGATGCATAAACCCTCTTATGGTTTATTCAGATATATGTTTACTATGACCTTTAAAACAGATACCTTTGTTCTTGTGAGTTGAGATTAGGTGTTTTGTAGGATCACATTGAATGTCCCTTTCAGAGAATTTCAGCTTTCTTTTGGTTGTAGCTATCCTTTAGAAACTGAATGGCTTAATGGGTAAGGCTGTTGCTTGATGGTAATTTTAATGGGAGTGAGAGTGCTCATCCACGTACTTCATTGTTAATATGAAGTGACTAGGTGATTATCCCTGATAACGTGTGTGAATGATGTGTCTAATCAGTGAGTAATGTTGTGAGCGTATACATTGCTAGATTTAGTACATTCATCATAGCAGTTAGGATTGAAAATGGCAGGCATGCTTCTGGCTACGATGAGGAAACTTGGCAGTCTGAGCTTTGCTAAGGCTATCCTGGCACTGTCTGGGTGTGGTTAAATTACTCCTACCCTTACCCACATTTGCCATCAGAAGATGGGGATTTGGAATACTAACTGTAAGAGCACAGTGCTGCAGTGCTTTCTGGGAATAAGAGAAGAAATCAGCCCTTGTGCTGTTTGGAAGAAGTGCATTCTTCCCTTTTGTATCTAATCATCCTTCAGCCATCAGAACTTGCCCACTGGGCAGCAGTGGCTGTTACAGAACCTGGAAATACTGGTGCAGATTTCTTAGTGCAGACTACAGTGAGGCTTTACAGTTCACTTTTGTTTTGGACAAGGTCTTCCTGTAGAGCCCAGGCTGGACTCCAGCTTGCTTCTCCTGCCCCTGCCTCCCGGGTGCTGAAATTACAAGTGTGAACCACCACACCTACTTGCCTTTTAAAAATCACAAGCAACATGAGAGTGCTTTTCTGTTTGAGCTTCAGAAGCATCTTGAGAATCTCATGATTTACTCATCAAGCTCATCCAAAGCACTTGCATTTAACAGTGTGAAAGTAGTTTTTACTTAACATGATGGCTTGGTGATTATGTCTTACATTGTTATTTATATCTCATTAAAGGCTCTTGGTTGACTAATAGCAGCAAGAAAGTCTGTCATGTTGGATAAATAGAGAGTAGGAGATACAGTGTATAGACATAGGCAAGGCTGTATGTCTTTGTTCAACTTTTCAATTCTCTTGTCTTTTAGGATGACTACGATGTCAGCACTTTTTCAGCTCTCTGTATACATCAGGGTATGGTTTAAGCTTTTACTTTCTTAACCATTTGTAACTCTTGTTTTTAATGAGCATGATTTTAGATTACATCTCTTTATTTCAGACTAGTCACAGCTATTTCGTTCACGACCTTGGTTTACCAGCGTGGGGCTCATACTTGGTTTTTGCATTCGCCACTGTGCTTTCAGGACTGATGTTGGGACTTGTAAGTACTCCATTTCTAGAGTACTAAGAAAAATACTTGAAAACATGAATAGTATTGTTAATACTAGTTGTATTGCATGTCGTACATTTAGATTTCTGCTTATTTTTCCAGTTTATGATATTTGTGGCAGATTGCTTTTGTCCTTCAAAAAGGCGCAAACCACAGCAACAACCTCCAAGTAAGTCGGTGTGTGCACCTGCGTGTGTGGCACTGGGACCGGACTCTCCTGGCTGCATGCATGCTAGGCGAGCACACACTGAGCTGCACCCACTGCACAACCTAACCATTTGGTGCTTTTCATTTCTGTAAATGTGGAATGGTGATCCTTGTCAGCTGTGTTTGCATATAGGGAAGGGAAGAGATGCATATTTCATATAAAATGATAGCTCTCCATCTAACATTGTTATAATCCAGAGAAACCTAATATTCATGTAGCTTGTAGATACTTCATAGCAGTGGGCTAATCAGTTTATTTGAAAATTTTACTATATCCATGGATCCATTTTTTAAAAACTTAAGTATTTTCCACTTTTGACATCATTCATTAGGGTCGTGGCCACATTTGAAGATTTCTTTGTATATAGCTAATTTTCTTTCTTTTTTCCTGGTACAATAGTAGGAAAAACTGACTAAGGGTTAATTGGTGTTGGTAGTGGCCTATGCTACAAAATTAGTTTACATAATTAGAGACATTTATTGCTTCCTACTTACAATTTTTTGCCACTTTTAAACGAGAAAGTCTGAATTGTTCAGTTCACTTTACTTGCTGTGAACTGAATTCTGCCCAGTTAGTGTAAGGTGAATGAACATCCAAGGCTGTGGCTCATGACTCTAGAGCTGAAGAAATTCTGGGGCATTCCACTGTGAAAAGCTCGCTTCTTGACACTTGCTGTTTTAGACACATAATTTTACTTGCAATTGACTATGTTTTATATCTACAAAGTTGTATAATGCTGAACGGCCAGCAGTATTGCTCTTTTTTAAGTAGTACTGTCCCCATTAGGTGTGAGGCCCAACAGATGTCACCAGCATTGCTACTCTTTGAGGGGACAGAAACATTCTGGGTAGGGAAACTGCTGTTATAAGCTATACTGCCCACTGAAGTCCCATGGGCATTTCATGGGCAAGGTTCAGTACCGAGTGTGAAGAGGTATGCCAGGTTGTCATCACCGAGTTTCCTCACAGCTTACTGTGCTGGGTAACCCTCCCTGCAACGGTGAGTTGCCTATGATTGGAGCAGTCTAGGGTCACTGAGTACAGTGAAACCCTTTGGCCTCAGCTCTAGCTTCCATGTCTGTCTCTAGAACACAATGTACTTTGAACTTAATTAGCGTCTAGCCCTCAAAAAGTAGACATGGGTGTGTGGGATTGCCAAATTTTATTGTTTGTAATTATACCTCAGTAAATTACATAGGCAAGGGTGGGGAAATAGATCCCAGTTTTGAGAAAATATCTGGGCAAGAGTGCAGCTTTTATAAATTTGGATTTTTGTTTCCCTAGGCGCTGAAACAGGAAGGTTTAGTATATTTACAGACTGAAAAATTAACATCTGGTTGTTACAAGATGGCCTGTTTAATGCAGTATATTTTATCACAGCCTTTATGTTAATTGCATTGACACTAATTCATTAATTTTGGGTTAGTTTATGAACACATAGGTAATTAGAATTCATTTGGTAAATGAATCTTGTTATAATATTTGCTTTATTTTGGGGGGAATCTAAACATGGCTTATGAATCTTTGTATCTTGAATTTTTTCCTAAAGCAAATTTAGTCCATTAACAAAAGCACATTTCTGATCTTTAAGAAAAACCCTCACCAGAATTTTCTCAACCTCTGAAAAAAGTGGAGGAGGAACAAGAGGCTGATGAAGAAGATGTTTCAGAAGAGGAAATCGAAAATAAAGAGGAAACAAGCAAAGACACTCCTCAGAGTGCCATAAGACAGCGCTGTGTGGGCCCATCATTGGCCACAGAGAAATCCTAATTTTTACAGATGTCTTAATATTATGGTTTTGACAAAACAGAAGATTGCTATCATTTCTCTGTTTTAAAGTGAACTGTGATTTGCTTGTACATACAGTCTAGGTTGTCATTAGGTTGGACAGTTCATTCAGAAAATAAAGCAGTTAGGTGTAACAGTTTGAAATATGTTTTAAGAATATTATGATGTTTTAAAGTTGTTTAATTTCAGAAGATCCTGGTGCCAAGCAGTAAGATTTGTGTTTATATTTAATGATCTATTCATGTAAGATTCAAAACTGCCTTTCCCACGATTTGCATTACTGGGGTATTTAAGAAAATTACTTTAGAGAGAGATAGTTCTCATTTCACATCATTTTTCTCAGTTTCACTGTGTGAAAAAAGGAACATATTTCCCATAACTGGGAACGTTGCCCATTGTTTCAAGATGTGTACTTCATTGATAATGCTGCGCTTATCCATAGCTTCATCATAGGTTTTGGACTATACAGCTAACAGAACTACCTTCTTTGTAGCTTTCATTTCTATACATCACATCTAGGATATGCTGCTCACTTCAAAGTTTTTATAAGTTTGTGGTATTGTGTTAATTCCTAAGGTTGGTGGCCTGCTTTGGTCCTCTTGTTGACTATATGAATTTTTTTTTTTTTTTGCCATGGGTTATATTTTTAAGTTCAATAAAATTAACAGTATCACTGTTGTGTTTACTGTGGGTAAACAGTACTTTCCTATTATTTTATGTTGACATTTACTGGGGGAAATCATCAAATTGGACTGTTTACTTGAAATTGTACAAATTTGGCTATACATTCCAGATTTTAAATTATTATTCTTGAGTGGTCTCAAGGTTTTCTTTTCTTTTCTCTTTTTAATGGGAAGGTGAAAATTGCTGATTTTTAAAGTTTGATGTGGAAAAGCTTTGGTATTTTATATTTTGGAAACTCAAAGCTTAATTTGATGTAAAATGAAGTCTGCATTCTATTTGAGAAACATCTTGTACTATGTGTTTTTAGCATATCTGTCCTCTACAGATTCTTGATGGATTTTATAGTCAGTATATTGCTTTGTGTTTGAAAATCGTAACATTGTTGTGTTTTAAAGACAAAGTTTGTATTGTATGTTTGTATCTGCTTGTCCTGTGCATCTCACAAGTGGAAATCAGCAAGATGGACTACATCAGCTTCATCTTACAGCAAGGGAAGGGTGTTAGGGGGGTGGGTGTTGGTGTCTGCAAGGGGAAAGCAGACCACATGACTCTGGGAATGAGTCACCCAGCCTTTATGGAATAGTGGTTTCTATGGCGCTCCTTCCCCTTACGTGCTCTGTGAATTCCTTAGACTTGCCATGCTGTGATGTGCGACAGCTTCCTTTTAGGCCTCTCCTTTATAATACTAAATGTTCTGCTGTCAGTTTGAATATGTAGTTTGTGGTGGCTTAGAAAAACTTTCTAAGCACAAAATAAATGTTTCTAAGCACTTCAATAATGTTGGAGAGAAGTATGATTTCTATTGATTTCTTTTCAGACAATCTCACGTGTCCCAGGCTGACCAAGAGTGGCAGAATGAATGGTCCTCCTGCCCCTACAGCTGGGTAGTAGAGTTACAGGAGTGCACTGTTTCCAGTGCCGCCCTGCATGCCAGACGAGCATCCCACCAGCTGAGCTCAGTCTCTAGCCCAGCAGTGAATAGTGATTGCTCGGCTCATGTTTGAAAAGTATGCTTAACCACTTGCCACTCAGCCGTGTTCCAGGTTGGGTGGACACGTCACTCCATGTGACCCAGAAGGCTCAGTTTTTAATCACTTCAGGAGAATAATACTCTATAATCAAACACTGTTTTTAGTGTTTCTCTTGTATCTTTGACATTGTTGGGTTTTTAATTAGAAAATGCTTTATTATAGAAAATCAAAATCCTAAATTAAGGTGTTGGTGTTCTTATAAGCAAATCTAAGCAATCTCTAAGACTTACAGTAGACACCTGTAGAATTTTGGTTTGATACCAGCAGTGTACAGAACTACATGAATGGTTCTAGAGTGAATATTGTGCACGTAATCTGCTAGAGAATTCTTGCCTGTCATATCTGTACCTCCACCAAAGTGCTGTAAAATTGGTCTCTACTGAAACCTACAGTGTTAATGACGACTGGAAGAAAAGGCTCTTTGGTCTATCTAACAGCTACCTGCCCGTGCACAGCATACCTGTTGGAGCTTTGCTAAGATTTTTCTTCTATCATTTTAGTCCTGTGGCTACTGTGTAGCACAAACAAGCATGCATCTTCCAAGAGAACAGTTTTGGGGTTGCAGTAGAAGTAGGTAGAATGTTCTGATTAGTCATGTCCTTTTTGTCACGAAGAACTGAAAATTGAGCAACCCATTATGGTTTTAGGTGTGTGTGTGTTTTAATCTCTATAGCAGCAAATGCCTTTCTACCACCATTAATTTGGAGTTGCAGTTGGCAGTAAATGGTGCTTTTGAGAGTAGTTTTTCTCATCAGTTAACCTTTTTTTTTTTAAGTTATTAACTTCTACCAGTTAAAGATGAAGTCTGTAAGATGGAGAGGTGGCTCAGTGGTTAAGAACCTTGCTGAGTATCAACATAGATACGTTTAAGCTCACAGCTGCCTATGCCTCTAGCTCCAGAGGATGCAGCACAGCTGCTTTTCCTGGGCCACTGCTCATGTACACGTAACGAGAAATGATAAAGTGTCAAAAACCTCCAAGTGCTTTAATATCTCAACATTATCAGGTAACAAAATATAAAAAATTCAAAGGGTGTACTGGGAAAATCCAGGCTGTTTTAAGAAAGCTGCTTTTACAAGAAGGCTTCTTGGGTTAAAAAAAAAAAAAAAAAAAAATCTATGCCAGACACTACAGAGGATACTAACGCAGCTGGTCAGGCAAAATGCAAGCACTTAGGTCTTCGGTGTCAATCTTCATATTGTTGCGTTTCTTATTTGATTACTACACAGGGTCCTGGTAAAATGGCTGTCATTACTCAGCCTGGCCCTGCTCAGCCTAGAGACTGCGAATCCACTGTTGTGTGCCATCTTGTGGTTTAGTTGAGGGCATGCGGATGATGAGGTGTTTATCGACCTCATGCCTGTCACCCTTATTAGGCTGTCTTTGGTGAAGAGGGCCCCGGAGGAACTGGGGCTTGCAGTCCCTTACACTGTATGTTCTACCTTATTGTGCTGAGGGCAGGGACTTCAGTGCCTTTTCCCGGGTGTCATGGTAACGGGCCTGGCTGCCACTCGACTGCTCAAGGCGCACTTCCGTTCTTCATAAACACTTGTTCTTCCGCATTTTTCTCATTTGTGTGTGCATGTTTGTGTATGGATGCACACCCTGATGATCTCCTGTCATCCTCTATAGCCTAACCGTATTCATTGTGGCAGGCTCTCGGTGGAACACGGAGCTGTGGCTATGAATGCGCAGGCGCACTGAGGACCCTGGGTCTGCCTTGCAAAGTTGGGATTTCAGAAGCCACTGTACCACCCCGTATTTCCATGGCTTCTGGGGTGCCGACCTCCATGTTTCACACATGTGTGAAAGCGATTTGGTGGCTGTGCCAGCTCCACAGCCCCAAAGCATAATTGTTTTATAAGAATTGTTTTAATGTGTGTTGGTGTTGTGCCTGCTTGCACGTGTGCTTATTGCCCACAGAGGTTTGTGAGCCACCATGTGGGTACTGGGATTCGAAATGCCCCCCCCCCGACCTTTGTCCTTAACTATTGTGCCATTTCTACAGCTCTGAGATCGCATAATTTTTAAGGTAAAAATTTTAGTTGAATGTCCTTCTAAAAATAAATAATTGTGTGTCTGGCAGGTTTTAGATTTATTTGAAACTTAACATTCCTAGAATTATGGTGCCATAAGAATGAAAATACCTCAGTAGTAAAGTCCTTGGTTCCTGAAACCTTTGTGATATGGGTTGCAGCAGCATCTTTTGTTAAAATATTTGGTGTTTTCTACTTATACAAGAACTTCTAGGCACTTTGGATCACTGCAAGTGAGTGGTGAGGGTGTGTATTGATAGGTGAAGGCTGAAAACACCCCCCCCCCCATCCTGCTAGGATACGGGCTGATTTCTAGAGCAGCGTAGCACATGGTTAGAAGATAGAAAATCCTCCTTTACCATTCAGTGGGAAGAGGAGCTGACGATTGACGTCATGTACTCTTTGGCCAGTGAGTTAGTCCAGGATCCATCCCTCTGTAGCAAAACCGCTACTAAAACCCTAAACAAGCCTTGGGTTGGTGATCACATGGAGGAGATGGGATGGGGTGCAGTGTGCTCAGAAGGCATGAAGACTGCTCCCCTTCCCATGTGCCTTATTCCGGATTTCTCTTCCTTTAGACTGTTCATGAGTTGAATCCTTTAGAATAAACCAGCAATAGTAAATGAACCATTTCCCTGGTGTAAGCTTTCTAGCAAGTATCCAAAAGCAGGGCTTTTGGGGGAACTGTGTTTGTAGCTATTGCAAGATTGGGAGGCCTGGACTTGTGATTGGCACCCTGAAGTAGTGAGAGGAAGTCTATGGCATTAGCTTGTGGACAGTAAGTACACTGACTCTGGATCAATAGTGCTAGCACTAAAAGGATATCAGGTTTGGGGCCATAGAAAAGCAAATGTATGGTATAGACCCTCCCCACCTCCCATTTGGTGTCAGAGGTCTGATTATAGATGATGCCATTTTCCTGTCCACCCCTTACTATGGTTCTTTGGGTTGAGCTACACACTTCACTGCTGGCCATGTGATATATCTCCACCCTCACTGCTGTGGATATCATGTGATCATATGTCAGGGTACCCTGATGGTTGTTTCGGATGTCAGTAAATGTTAGGTTTTCTCATTCTTCTAGTAGGAGCACCCTTTGAATTGTATGCTTACATAAGAGTTGCACAGTAGCATTAACTTGGGACCAAGCATCTCAAACATCTGGAGACAGCTCATGATCAGAATCTGTGGTCTTCTAAGCCATAGGACAAGAATACAAGGTAATCCCCAGCACTGCTGGGCTGAGTCTGCAGTACCAGCCACAGAATTGTTAGTGACATCATCTCAGTTTTTGTTTTCTCTTGTTTGAGGCAGGGTGGCATATAGACCAGGCTGACCTAGACCTTGCAATCCTCCTGCCTCTACCTCCCCAGTGCTGGGATTGCAGGCATGCACCACCATGACCATGTAAATCGTCTACTTTTATGACTTTTTAGTGTTGAAGATAATTATTTCTTTAGGTTTTTGAGGCAGAGGTTTCTCTGTTGTGTAGCCCTGGCTATCCTGGAACTTGCTCTGTAAACCAGACAGCCTCAAACTCACAGAGAGCCTCTTGCCTCTGCCTCCCAAGTGCACTATCACTGCCTGGGTCTGATGATATTTTTCATAACTAAAACTTCATTGTAAATAACTCACAAATTAAAAAAAATATATATTAGTTTGACCAGGCCCATAGTCTATACATGCCAGTGAACTTCTGTACAGTTAGAACAGCCATTCTGAAGCTGTGGGACTTCATATTGGATTTTACACTTTCCCTATCAATTATGCACTTTCCAATAAAAGAAAAAGAAAAGAAAAAGCCATGACAACTATATCCTCTTCCATGCCATGTCCGTTGCCTACTCTTTGTCGTTCTCCTTTCTGCAAGTTATACTGCACTGACATGTACACACATAAGCATAGGCTATGATCTGATATGTGGGAAAACGTGCTTTCTTTTTTCTGAGA